AAGCTTTGAGAGGTCTGCATGTGTTTCTAAAATAGAAAAAAATGTGAATGACTAGTATTCACGGTGGCATTAAAGTGACATTTGCAAATTTATATTTTCTTTTGTTTTTGATACTATTTTGTTTGTTTTTCGTACATATCTTTTTTTTAAATTTTGCATACATATTTTCTTTAGTTTTGCATGCATATTTTATTTTTGTTTTTCGTACATATTTTTAGCCAATCAAAACAGCCTTCACATCTCATAACAGCCCATAACTGAGAATAAAACGCGGTTACTATAATAGCATCAACGACAACAACAACAACTTTTATTAGCAAACATCGACAAAAGCTTGCCTTTGGCTAATGAACAGAAACAATACTTCAAATATTGATCATATATACAAACATTTAAATCAATTTTACATGAAACTATTATTATCAACAAATATACATATAAAATCATAGTGATCAGAAAATTTTAACATTTAAACATTTGAAAGACATCATTTCTAACAGGCTATGCTTCTTTAAGAAATTAAGTTAATTTACACATAATCAAAACAGTTTTCTTTTAATTTGAACCCATCATACGGTTGAATAAATTAAGTTTGGCCATGAAATATGTGCATGTATTTGGTACGAATATTTGCATATTTTGTGTGACAGGTCATTAGAAAGTGGAACTCTGACTCGATTACATTACAATTGCAATATCGACAAATTTTATTTATTCTATCAGTTCTTATATATCTCCAAGTTTCGATAGCTAGCGAGTGCGCTGATAATCTGAAACAAGTAAATAGCTTTCTCAAATAGTCAATTTCAATAAAATCAAGATATTTTTCATAAACAAATTATTTTTTGAATTTCACATAATAATCAAGTTTAGAAATACTACGAATAGAACCACTCCTTCTTGCTTAAACTGATCTCTTAATCGGCATTTTAAGATTCTTATAGAAATATCATCTTTGAAATTGTACCAAGTAAAGCCGTACCCGAGAGAATCAAGAAGAGATTTAACATGGTTTGCGCAAAATATGCAATTTTGATAATATGTTTCTGTATGTTGCAGTTGAAAAAAGTAATAAATAAGCGAACTTTTGTTTCTGTTTATTTTTATCCAATATGTCAACACTCTCTTTTCACATAAGATTGACGGATATCTTCCCGATTCACCAAGTACAGCCATATTTGTTGTAGACATTTTAACACCTAAAATCTGTTTACAGATCTTCATTTGAATTCTATCTAATACATCTGTATTGTAAATACAGTAAATTCTCTCTATTAAGACCACTTACGGGACTGACTCAAAGTGGTCTTAATAGTGAATTGGTCTTAATAGTGAGTAAGTCACTTTAATAGCTGACGAAGTCCAACTTAATTTAATGTATACCTTACATAGTTTTATGCACATGGCAAATGTACTTAATAAAATGAGTAAAAAGAAACACATATTTTTGAGAAAAAAACAACATTTTTAATGCATGATAATAATTATGATACATCATTAATATAATGAAAATATCAATAAACGGCTAGATGTTAAGTCTCCCCTTTAGAAGAAAAATATGAGGTATTAAATATAGTTATAACTCTCATTATGATTTATACATTAATTACATATCGAAATAAAGCACACATGAACTGATAATTTGGTGTAATTATCACTTTTTACCATACTTGCTACAAATTGTGATGCACAACAAACAATCCTTAATGCTATTTACCTGTTTATTACATCCTAATTACGCTGACAAATTAATCGTTTCTCACACCATAGCTGCTTAGATTAATTAGCCAGAAGTGGTTTAAACTGATCATGTTGACGCTTGAATTCTAAAGATACACCGTAAAGCAAGCGTCTAATCAATCGATGCATATAAATGACCTCATTTGACCCGGTGTATTTGTTTACGCCAGAGGGAAGATTACGACAATTAATTGGGGGGCAATAAACACCAAGTGATGTCTGGCCATTATGTTGCATGGTCGTTATACAGGTTAATGTTTTGATAAGAAATACACACAAATGTCTGACAGAAGTGGTCGTTATGCCGGATTAGAGATGTGGTCGGTATACTGGTCATTTTTCTCAATGAATAAAGAAGGCAAATATTTTGTACTTTTAAAAAGTGCCCGTAATAACGGCGTGGTCCTATTTGTGGCGTGGTCGTTAGGTGGCATTTTACTGTACCAAAAACTTCAGCACAATAAAGTAGTATTGGTTCTACCATCCTGTCAAAGAGCAACAGTTTAGTCTTAACGTCAAGCTTTATTCATACAGGCTGTTTACACCTTTTAATGCGTGCTCTGATTAAAAATTCATTGCATCCGTCATAGACCTATGATACTTAAAGTAAACTACAAGTAACAAAATGTTTCTACAACCTCTGTTTTCTCACCATCAATTAACCAATTTTGCTCATTTTTTGTTTTTCTTTTTCTATATACACAAATATTTGTTATCTTAACATTTATTTTCAGACTCCATTTATCAGAATATTGATATAAACTATCTAGCTGCGCTTGGAGACTTTGTGCATTTGTAGTAAATACCACCATATCGTCTGCAAATAGTAACATATATATTCAGATAATTTAAATCTGCTTCTGATAACGCATTAAAATCAAGGTTTACGGTAACATCTTTCACAAACAATATGAAAAGTATTGGCGTGGTTCCCATTGCTTTCATCCAAGCAATGTGTCTAAACACAAGCTGAGACTCTGAAATATATAGCCTTTAACATATTCACCATTTTGCTGCTAACACCTATTTCAAATAACTTGTACCACAGTGCATCTCGAACAACCGTATCAAATGCTTTTTCGTAATCGATAAAAGCACAATAAAGAGATTTATTTTCTGACAATTTTTGGATTAAGCTATGCAGAATATAAACAAAATCTACTGTGCTCCTGTTGCTACGAAATCCGAATTGCATATCATAAAAAACTGATGCATTTTCACAATACTTGTCTTATCGATTTCCTAAACATAAAGGTAACAGTTTAGCCATGGTACTGATAAGTGAAATTCCTCGATAAATATTGGGATCATTCTTATCCTTTTTATGAATATGAACGATGATGCCCTTTGTCCAACTTCAAGGATAAACGCCTTCACTATACATTTTGTTTAAAATTTGTACTAAAAATGGAGTGGTAGATGTCTTGACATCAATGAATAAATCTGAGACTATCAAATCTTTGCCATGAAGGTGCCTATTTCGAGATAACGAGGAAATGCAATTATCTATCACATTTTCATCGATCAGTTTTTCTGAACTATCTATTACAATATTTAAAAAAATCATCATAAGATAAGTCATTTAACATCGCATCATCATGTGGTGGGTTATTTAAAATAACAGCAAAATATGCAGAAAACTGAGCTTCATCAATATGACTTTTAGGACTTTTGGACTTTTAGTGTTTCTATACCCAGAATTGTTTGGGTGATTTCTGACTCAATTCAAATAAGCTTTGCTTCTCCTTTTTGAAATATTCAAATTAAGTCCTACGTTTAATATAACATGTACAAAAATGCCTTCTGCTCTCTAAAAATGGCATTCTTTTCTCTATTCAAGGGTTTTGGTTAAAGTTTCGTTTTTCATAAAAAAAACTAGCTTTTGCCGTTCTACAAGCGTCATCAAATCAGATTTTTTCGCTTTTCTGACATTATTTGTCACTGACACCGTTTTTCCAAAAACAGAAAAGAGCACTCATACATAATATTTTAAAAAACTGCTATGTTTGAATCTAAAACCTCTTGGTTGTTTAATATATCGTTAGTTTTTTTTAACAAACATAGATTTCGCACAGTGGTTTGGTCACATTTCGGCCCATTTTTGGAATTGGCCCAGTCATTTTCGGCCGGGCAAGTCTGGTTTCGGCCGACCCTTTTCGGCCCACTTTTTAAATTATATATTTTAATATAATTATTGTTTTGTTATTATTAATATATACCATCATATTAGTGTCTATTTGAAAAGGGCTTTTGATTGGTGATCAGTTATTATTCCATGAATAATATGGATAATAACATTCCTTCCTTATGTCTCGGAACAGCTCAAACGACAAAACACGATTCTTTTTTAACCCGCACTCCCCCGGGGCGAGGGAGGTGGTGAAAATGACTGGTGTATTACAATTATGCACAATAAAAGATCTAAATAGGTCATTATACTCCGCCTGGTTTAGAAAATATGCCTAAAGCTTTAAAGGATTTTAATGAAACTTGAATCAATTGTTTAGCACATCCAGATAATGTGCAAAACTTATATGCCGGATCAAGGTCGGGGTCACACATACAGGTCAAAGGATTTAGACTTTGGTTTCATGTCCGCTCCTTATCTCCATGAAGGATTTTCATGCACCTTATGTCAAATGTTAACCACATCGATTTAAATATGTATGTTTGTTATTTTTTTATACCTCCGAAAATGAAAATGTTGGTATTGCAAATGGCGCTTGCAAATGGGGTACAGCAATTTACAGATGAAGTGTTTGAAAATGGTGTTTTACAAATGGCGTAACTATCCAGAGCTTTACTTTGCAAATGGCGTCATGTAAAAAAATATGTACGGTAAACAAAAATAAAAATATGTACGAAAAACTAAAAATAAAATGTATGCAAAACTAAGAAAAAATGTACGAAAAACTAAAATAAAATATGTATGCAAGACTAAAATAAAATATATATGCAAAACTAAAAAAATATGTACATGTATTCAAAACTAAAATAAAATATGTAAGCAAAACTAAAAAAATATGTACGAAAAAAACAAAAAAAAACAACAAAAAATGTACAAAAAAGAAAAAAATATAAGCATCAAAAACAAAATTAAGCAATTGCGAATGCCACCGTAGGTATTTTTATTTTCAAAAAAGTTCTGTTTGCTAGTTTAAATTTTTCTTCCTTTACAAAAATGTATAATCTATAGTAAATGTCTTTTACAATGCCTGGTTCAGTTAATTAAATGTTAATTTCCCTGTTTATTTTGTCAGAGAACATCGGAAACGAAAGTTAGATAACAGGAGGTACTCGTAAACTGGTAAAGTGAAAAAACCAAATAATGAGTCACCAGAGTGAGATAGAGAAAGAGAAGTACAGAAACTGGGTGAAAGGTGGATTAGCATATAAATACCTAAAACAAGGTCTAGACGAGTTTGCTGATGATGTTGTTAAACAAGAACAAAGCAGAATATTACGTTCTATCTCTATACCAGGTACTATCTGTAATCAATGCATCATTGAGCGTTTGCGACCAAAACATGCATGTATAACAAATTATGCAGGTAATTATGAATGCCCCTGGGGACAGCGTAAGTGTAATTGTTTGCACTTAAAGAAGAAAAAATGTCGTCTTGAAGTATGTGATTTCATTATGGAAGAAATATTAAAAACCCACGGATCCACCCCACCAACACCAAACTGGACGAATACAGATATACAGAAATGGTGTACAGAACCGTGGGAAGTCGCCAAATGCTTCATCAATGCACCTGGATATTCGGACAAGACAAAGGCAGCTGATATAGACATATCCGGATTACTCCATGTCTTCATTAATAGCACCAATCTTCATTCTCATTTAGCTTGCTCAATGGCTGGAAAAAATATTTTTATCAAGGTGAGTAAGTAATCGTAATTAAGAAAATAATATCATGAAAGTAAAAAAGCATTATGTTTGTAAAATTTGTACCAACATTGTATTAACAAATACATGTTATATAATTAAAAGATTTGAGGATTTAAATAATGAGCTAAAGGAATGTTCAGTTGAACATTATCAGACTCTTGTGAATACTAGGTTAATTTTCTGTTGCTTTTTTCTTACATTATTGATATAAATAAATAAATAAATATATCAAATTTATTCTTGTTGTTCTTTCTAATATTGTGACTTTTAAGTATTGAAAATTGAGTATCACTCAGGGCATGAGGGATGTTGCACGTTTTCATATTCCTCATGTACAGACTCTGTATGCAATTTTTATTGACGGTTCACGAAATTGTAGGTACGAGAAAGAAGAAACAAACTTTTCCATTCCACTACCATGGAGCTTGAAGATGGGGAAGTGGCTGAATGCATAGATGATATCATTGAAATTCTGGAAGACCCAAAAGAACTCAGAGGAAGACCTGAAGCTCAGGAAGCTGTCAAGAAACTTAAACAGGTAAATTATTTTGCCTTATCGTATGTCAGATGGCCTTTCTTTCGTGACACGACAAGGTCATTTGTGTTTGAGATATGCATTAATGTATTTGTGTTCATAAATATTTATAAAATTATATATCCGATTAAGAAGATATACGTTTTTATATGATTATTTTTAAGGTAAATTTTTACTTTAAAATATAGATAAGATGATAAAGATAAATACTCTTGTAATACGTGTAGAGGTTATTTGAGATATCATATTGTAGAACTTGAAATGTTTACAAAAATACATTTGTTAAAGTAGATCTCTATGTATTCCTTTTTAAAAGTCAAAGACCTTTATATTTATAATGTCAAAAATAAGAACGCTTCTACATAAATTATTATTACACATCTACTAGGCTTAACATCAACAATTCAGTTTCACAAAAGAAAAAAAACACTTTACATTATCATTTCTTGCTGTTAATCATTCAACATCTAAGAAATTGCACTACATATTCAGGTTAAGATTCTACAAAATAACATCTTTGTATTGATGCATGTATACAATTTTTTTTAGTGTGCTGTGCTTATAATTAATGTACATTTTAAAACAACAACAACAAAACATTTTTTGCACAGGCATTTAGAAATGATTCGATTAACTGAAACCATTATTTAAGGTACGAGGAAAAACAATTTGTGCAATTTTAACTCTAATAACTTCCACATATTTGTTTAAAAAACGAAATCTATTTATAGCTCTATCAACAATGAGTTACACATATAAATGTTTATTGACATTTTCACTGTTGATTGCATTCACCTTGTGTGGTGCACCTCTCATGTTAACTATTAGAAAAAAGACAACAGCCTTATGCTGCTAATGAGAACTCCAAACACAGATCACACTTTTCATGCATTTTTGCTTAGTCTCAAATGAAACATTTACAGCGCTTCTTGTACTATAGGCGGGCGATAGTTTTAGCTTTTTTCAAGTACTAGTATGCGCTTTTAAATAAACCAAGCCTTATATAGTTTTTGACCCCAAATGTTCAGGGTCAAGGTCAGTGTTACTAAAAGAAATGATGGATTGTAATATTTTTACATGAATGTTATATGATTATATACATTATAGGTAATTCAAATTTGGCTATTTTAACTTCATACTTCATATTTATCATAAGTTATGAATCACCTTTAACTATGGCTTAAGATTTTGTTATGATTATTTATGTTTGTTGACAGTTGAAGGAAAGCAAATTTGTAATAACAACCAACGATGAAATAGATGTACGTAAAGAAGCAATATTGTTTGTTAGCCAAAAATCAGATGAGTTAAAACAAATGGTTGAAGGTGGCAAAAATGAAGTTAGATACCTTATCGACCAAGAAACGGTTAAAGCTAAGGAAAGCATACAAAAATGTCAAAATGATGCAGTAAAGGAATTCAACGAACACAGGGAAATTCTAAACGAAAGAGTAACAAACCTGGAAACGAATGTACCTGACAAAGTGGAGAAATTAAAAACAGAGGTTTCTAAAAGAGTCGGAAAAGTGGAATCAGACGTTTCTGTTTTGAAATCAGATGTTTCTTCTGTGAAAGAAGTATACCATTTTTGTAATAACATATCACTTACATTATACATATCTATCTTATCCTCATCTGACCGCTGTCAAAGTTAGTGTTTGTGATCAACTGATGCCAGTCTCTAATCATGTTGGCCTGTGTTAACAATTTTCATTCTTAATGACTCTAATCATGTTGGCCTGTGTAAACAATTTTTATTCTGGATGACAACAGTTTTATTTCATATTCAATAATAGCCAAACTTACATAAAAAATACTACCCCAGTCTGCTTTTTCATAAATAAGGTTAATATCAAAGTTTTGATCCCTTAAAAAGGTATATTTGCATTGTATTTGATCCATATAAAAGGTATATTTGCATTGTTTTTTTCCACGTTTTTTGACGGTCTAGTAAAACTTCTCGAGACTATTGTTTTGTTACCATATCCTGTTTCTCTTTTTATTTTTGAAAACTTTTTGTAGCAAATATATCTGTAAAAGGAACAGTTAATATTAATAACGAGGAGATAGAAAGCCCTTTGGTTTGGCAGTTTTGCATGACAATGGTTTCGTAATACATGTATATGTTAGTTTACACACTTGAAATTGTGTCACTTATTTGAGCGATTTATAGCCATTTTGACCATTTTGTTTGATTTACAACTGTTAAAATAACCGTTTAACAATGTTATTAGCATACAAATTCAAATTATTTATAAAGCGTTACTTGTCGTGTAAACAACACTGCCTGTAACAGTCTTACAATATTTTTTTTTATTGTTTAACATATATTCTATTAATTGAAATGTATATGATCATATCTTATGTTGCTTTCAGCAAGTGACTTCATTAAAAAGCAAAGATAGAGAACTAGACAGTAAACGTCAGTTATACAAGAGGCATTCAGATTACGTCAAAGGAAAGCAAGGTAAACATTTCGTACAATATTAGCTATGTTTTTTGAGAAGTAGTTCTTCATGATTAGGACGCACGTTTAGACAAAATATTTTCTCTTTAGATATGAACTTGGAATTTACATTTTTAGCTTACAGGTATAACCTTTATCAATAATATTGCCTGCCAGCTTATATGTAAATAGCTATCAAAATTTTAAGGCATTATTAATCAACCCACACTATATAGCAACTATATTTTTGTATTGATATTGATAAGTACAAACAACAATTATTAATAAAACCTTTTATTTTATGCTTTTCAGTGGATTACTGATTTATCCGTGAAAATTATATTTGATTATTTCACAGTGAAAATTATCAAAATATAATTTCGCTTTTTTCAATGACGAAACTACTTTTTTAAGATTTTCCCCATGTGGTACCTCAATTTTATTTTTACCGACAATTCTGACAATGTCAGGCTGTTAAAAGAAATAGCAAAGCTGAAATAGATAAATAACTTAAATGTCAAAAGTAACACAGAGAGAAAACTTACTTCTATTCCTTCAAATTCCAATCACCAAATTTTGTCTCTAAATTTTTTTTGTTTCGTTTTTACAGTCTGAAAAATACATTCCTTCCCCATGCAAAACGGGCTCTTGATGACATTTGGGCATATTAAAGTATCCTACGAGCAATAACTGCCGTATGCTTTATGAAAAATTGAAAAGCATTGTCAGCCATCACTCGTAAAATAAGTTAAAACAACCCAGCGTTCCTTCAGCAAGCTTCCAATTTTTCCATTTTCCTAGCTCCTTTTCTGAATGTTTTCACTTCTGTCAACACTTATTTTTTGTCTGTTACAATCCTCAAATAAGTTTTCTTTCTTTTAAAAAGGTGTATGACTAACAAATCCAAATTATATCCTTCTGAATCTTACACAATTATTTTCCTCCCATGAAATACACAACTTTAAAAAATGGCTGCCGTTTACATTTTAGAAAGCCAGGTCTAATATAAATTCGCAGTAAGTAACAGAAATATGGATGGATGGTTGGAATTTTCTCCTGCAAGAATTGTTTGTTTTTATTATTAAAAGAAGCGATCATTCAAATTTTTTAATAAAATGAATAAATATCACCGTCATTTAACCTTGATTGGCGGACTTATTTTTCAGCTCAAGACTTCTTGTTTTAAATGAGAAATTCCGTTTAAATGGGGCTCTCAATGGGGGAAACAGATTTTAATATTAACGTTAAAATTATGGAAATTTCGTTTTAACTTGTTTTTAAGCATAAAATAAAAAGAAAATTTGTCTGTTTGTTGTGTAAGATGTAATTTTATTTCATCTCGTGAACTTTAAAAACAGTATTCTCACTCGTGGCTACGCCACTCGTGAGAATACTGTTTTTAAAGCTCACTCGATGAAATAAAATTTCATCTTACACACAAACAAACAAATATCCTCTATGTCACACAGTTTGAGAAGTAAATAAATTATTGCCACGATAATTTAAGAAAGGAATTCTATTGAGTAGAAAATCTGGAATATGTCACGTTTTCATATAAACATATGATAAAATGAAATTGATCTAATACATTTTATTTAAAAGTTTAATGTACATGATAATTCAAAAAAGTAAATTTGTTGGAAGTAAATAGCCGAATAATTATAAATATGATGATATTGCTGATTTGAATGCAAGATTATTCACAAAGAGGGAAAACAATATCCCATTTGACCATTTTTTGTAGCTTATATGCTTTTTAAATCATGCAAATTTTCGATTGTTTTTGTAACAAACACTTTGAAATTTTGCCTTCTTTACTGAAACATATAACAATATTCTTAAAATTCGCATACGAATTTTATTTCTTTTCAACGAATCTCTTTACTTAAATTGAAAAAAGTTTACCAAATATTACATGGCATTGCATAAAATGTGACCAAGTTGTAGAAACATATATTTTCTATCCTTGAAATGACTAAGGAAGCAAATAATAAACAAAACCGAGATTAGCGAACCCCAAATTTTTTCCGCCTAAGCATTTATCTTTTTATATTTCAAGATAAAGTTGCTATATTTTTATGCAACAATGTTTTGTATGACTACATTAATATTTGGCAAGAATATTTTATAAAAGTCGGAATATATTATATGCCTAGGGCTTCATGTACAAACATTTGAAAGGCCGTTTAACATTTAGATTAACTTTGTGTTTCAGCAGATGTAATGCAAAACAAATCTTACAGTTAACATTGATTGTTTTTCCGATTATTAAGTATTTTGAAGCAACACAAATATATACCAAAATTATTTTTCTGCTATTTCTTAATAATGATATACTTTAAACATCCGGGCATATTGATGTAACAATAAATATACAATAAAGTGACTTCCATTGAATTAACTATTTACTTACTTGAGTTGAGCATTTAAAGCATTCCTTTCATTAAAGCAAATAGTTGACAAAGTCACGTTTTATTTCGACAATTATGTAAATAAACACTTAAAAATAACTGCCAATTACCTACGATCTTATATTGTCTGCACTGTCTAGGAAGATTTTACTTTTTCACAGAGCTACAAGCCCAACTTGTTAAATATTACAAGAAGCATTATGTGAAGACATCACTTTCACCTTTGAAACAACAACAAGATACCATTAACATTGAAGATATATATGTAACCCCCAAGATAGAAGTCACGGAGGAAGAAAAATATGTGAATATTGATAAAAATACGACAAAGAAGCCAGAGAAAAGATACATACAAGGATATCATGAACTCTTTCAAACAAAAGGGCAGCAACATAAAAAGATATATATATTAGGCGATGTTGGAACTGGAAAGAGTACTTTCTGCAAAATGATGATTGAAAACTGGTGTAACGCTGTTAGTGGTAGAAACAATAAATCGGTTCTAATGAATATTCTACGAAGATTAAAAACCGTATCAAGTCATATAAATATGACAAATAATGATGTCTATCAGATGGGGAGGTTTGAATTTCTTTTCTTGATCCCACTACAATATATGTCAGTGTTAAAGACTGACGTCACTGTTGATATGATTAAAGAATTAACAAAAGATCTCACTTCAGATAAAGATTTGATTGACAGAATATTTCAGGAAGACTCAATGCGTTGTCTTATCATTATTGATAGCTTGGATGAATGGACGCCTCCTAAAGATATTGTGCGTAAACCACATGTAAGTTACGGGATTCCAAACGGAGACAGGGCTAAAGACGCAACAGTCATTACATTATCAAGACCATCAGCAAAAGGAATTCTTAATTTAAAAAACTCAGAAATTGATCTTAAGTTACAGTTATTAGGTTTATCTAGTAGCTCATTGAAATCATTCATAGATCGATATATCTCAAACACAACCTCAACCGAAAAGTCTTACAATGAATTCATTTCAATTATGAAAAAAAAGCAAATTGGTCATATAGAGAAAACACCGTTGCTTTTGCAACAAATACTGTGGTTATATTGTAATGATATGGAACTTGGAAAATCTGTAAGTGAAACTTACTGTCAGATTTTTAATATCATGTGCGGTTGGTCAGACCACAAAGTTGACGGAAATGACGTACGAAATGATGCAATAGGAGATAAAAACATATTTTTGCCTGAAAATGTGCAAATATATCCTAGATTTAGAAACAACAAACGAGTTTTATTTCTAATGGGTGCTACTGCATTTGACATTTTGACTTCCGGCTCGATAAGAAACATATTTGGGCGACAGCATCTTCTGGATAAAGGACTATCTGTAGATGATGTCACTAAGCTAATACAATTTGGTATCTTAAAAGAAAGCAACTGCTTTGACCAAACACAGGAAGACACACAATTTTCTTTCATCCATATGTCTTATCTTGAGTTCTTTGCCGCTTTGTATGTGACCTCAAATGGTAACATAAAAGAAACCAAATGTTTGAGAGAAAAAGAAGATGAAAAACAGGAAGTTTTAGAAAAGCTTTTTGGTACATGTGAATCTGCTAGTGACATATTGCAGTTATCTAATGTTATTAAAATGGTATGTGGTTTGTCTCCCATCCTGATTGGTGATTTGTCTCAACGTATATCATGTATTGTGAATAAGGATACGCATATTTTACATCTAAGAAGACATGGGTATAAAACATTATACAGAAATGACGAGATTGTTCAGATACAACGTCTTATGGTAGAATGTCTTGAGGAGTGTGGCTCTTGTGATAAGGCACTGATCAGTATAAGCGACCTCTGCATAAGTGAACTTGAACCCATTCCATGTCTACAAAGAATCAACTCAGATGATGTGATTTCTCTGAATTTTGAAGAAACATCAGATAAAAATATAGTAGACTTTATCAAACAATGCAAACACCTGCAACATATTTGTATTAAATATGTTTCCTTCAAAAATATGGAAGAATTTTCATTCTTGTCTCAACAACTGTCTGTTAAACAAATAACACTGCATTTTGTTGATGTTTTAGATACTCAAAGTTTTCATGAAATTGATTTCTCTAAGCAGAAACATCTTCAGATACTTGAGCTGTTTTCCTGTGAAAATATAAGAATTTCTGACCTCGCCACTGAACAACTTGAATTTGTTCATATTGAAGACTGTCCTGGTATATTAGATTTTGGACATTTACAAAATGATAGCAGATTGGCAGAACTTTACATTGAGAATTATGATGTTGATTTGGTATCTGGGCATAATTGCCAAAGAATTGACCTGTCCGATCACAATCACCTCAAAAAACTTAAATTGATAAAGTGTCATGATATGTTAGTTACAGGCTTCAGTATTGACCAACTTGAACATATGTACATTAAAGACCTGCCTCATACATTAGATTTTGATCTTTTATCAAAAGCTAGCAGACTGACTGAACTTCACATTGAGAATTGTGCTGTTGATTCGCAGTCACAGCATGCACGTCATGATATTGATCTGTCCAGACAAAATCATCTCACAACTGTTATGCTGCTTGACTGTCCTGATATAGTAATTACAGGTATGAATACAGAGAAACTTGAACAGACATACATTCGCGGATGTAAAGATACACTAGGAGATACAAATATGTTTTCATATTCAAGGAAAGACATGGAACTTCATGTTAATTGTATGACGGTTAACACAGCAATTCTGAAACCATTATTACAACAGACATCTTTGAGACAAGTGACCTTGGATAATGTAAAATGCTACAAGAATGAATTTCTTCCTGTTGATTTGTCTGCACATAATCAGCTCCAAAACATTAAGCTTGTAAAGAGTCCTCAGATACAAATTTTGAACCTGAACACTGAACGTCTTGAACAAGTGCACATTGAACACAGCCCTGATAAAGTTATTTTTTATCTTTTATTAAATGCCAGAAGACTGACTGAACTCACCTTTCTGTGTAATTTATTCAGAAAACAAGATGGTGATGTTGTACACACTTTACATAATCTTGACAAACTTCATGTAAAGTTTAACTATATAGATACAAATGCTCTTACTGTGACACCAGATATGAGAAGACTAAAAACGATTAAACTGGAATATGTAGACATGTGTATAGACACGTGGCGTACATTTCTTGACAGTCTTCTGACTCTTCATCAGTCTGTTGAGGTTAACATAAAAATAAAAACAGACAATACGAATGATGCATTTGTGTCTTGGGCTTTTCCAGAAATCAGACAATTATATTTTTATGTTGCTCTCAATCCAAAGTTTAAAGTGATATCGGGACATGACGATTATGAGTTATGCTTTCAAACAAAAATTGCAGATTCCTTTTGTTTAATGCATTGAAATAGAAACAACGTATTTCATGTTCAAATGTGTAAAGGCTATGTTGTTTCTGCGAGGCATAGTTTTCATGCTAAATGGTTGCTTATAATAGTTTGACTTTGTTCAAAGGCACATTATGCCTCTTAAGCAAAAATAAATAAAAGCAATAAATATATACTTTTTTTAGAATGGACACACACTAAAATTTCAAAACCTTTTAATAATGATTTTAGAGCTATAAGCTGTTTTTTTGCCTGATGAAGATAGCGCTACATGTGATGCTATTTGTCATAAAAGAAGTAAAATGTAAACTACATATGTAAGTAGTATTTTGACTTCTGTTTAAAATACTAAATCGCAATAAAAGGTATTAATTGCGAAACATTAACAGAAGCAAAAGAATGTTCAGATCATAAGCCAATGAAAAACCTTTTGGAAATTATAAATGTAGACCAAAAATAAAAAAAGCTTTGTGAAATAAAAATAAAATATTTTATGTGGCAAAAATAAAAGATTTCTTGTATAAATATCATTGACGAAACGCATTGTTTTTCCTTCTAAAATTATATTAATAGTATATGATAATTCCTATAGAATTTGATAAGTTTTCTATGAATATAATTTTAGAAAATTATAAATGATATAATAAACATGTTGAATGAAACTATTTACTTTGGGAGACAGTGGATATATAGTCTTGAAATATATTTTACTAGGACAAAATCTTTTGTTGTACTTCAGATGTGTTAATTTATATTGAATGTCCTTTATTTGACCTTTAGTTATAGTGCCATCGACAGAGGAAAAGTGTTTTCAAAAAAATTGGCAAAAACTGTAATAATAATATATAGTTTGTCCGTAAAAACGACCCGGGATATCATTTTATTTCATGATGTGTTGTGAATGTTTTGTAATGTAGCGTTTCAAATGATTTCCGTTCAGTAGAACTGCAATCAAATGAATCGCATGAATCGTAGCACATTTTCACTTTAGTCAAGAAAATCGACTGTTTATAAATGTGATCAAGTGTTCATTAGTAAGCAGTTACAAACTTAAAATTTGCCCTGAACAGTTTGAAATCTTACTACTGAACACAAACACAGATGTATAAATAAAGTATATAACAATGACCCCCAACGTCATACAGGTATACTATGTTCAAATTTGATATTAGAAAATATTGGTTATTGCTACACATTCTTTGTTAATATAAAATAAACATGTTTTGACTTTACACAAAGTAGTTGAAAATCCTCCACACCAAAGGTGGTCTTAATATGAATATAAAGTGTCATAAATAAAAACTGGCAGTTTCTTTTAGAGAAAAGACAAACTTTACTTGATAAATCATAAAGAACGCAGCTTTCCGAACATAGTTTATTTATTTATTTATTCATTCTTTTTATACAAAGTAAACATATTTAGCAAGAAATTTATAGATTTTAATATATCTCAAATATTTTACTCAGAATTAAGCAAAGTACCAGTATATCTTAAAAATAGGTTAGAATGTTGCTGATACAAATATTTGATTCTCTCATATTTCGGTGATAAACAGACTACTTTGGTAATAAAAAGTAAATTATAACATATTTTGGCGACATAAATAGTAAATTATGACATATATTTTTGGATACAGATAGTAAATTTTGGTGATATAAAAAAAGCAAATTCAGACATATTTTGGTGATAAATTGAATTATTTCATGTTTTAGTGACTTGATTAGTAAATTATTTCATATTTCGATGATTAAAATAGTTATAAATTTCCGTATATTTTTCTAACATCTCTCAATCTCTGCAAATTTAAATGTTCATTATTTATTTACTTTTCCAGAGGCGTGCCACTTTTAAAAGTATGTGACAAAAAAAAAACAATTAAAAATTAATAGCGGTTGAATGCAGATACGGTTTATATCTCTATTTTAATTAAATAACATAACTGTTATTAAGAAATCATTTGAATTACTTTTGACATATTAGTTCTTTGATTTTATTAAGTGAAAATTTGGATGAAAGACAATGAACAGTTGTAAAAATCAAATCTTTGAACAAAAGCTATGCCCACTCACAAAGTATTTTATATAATTGTTGTTTAAAACTACATGCCTCCATATGAGCCAAATCAAGACAACCAACCTTAAGAACTACTTTAAGCAGTTAACGATTCAATTTGCAGTATTAATAAATATATATCTACTGCATTACTAACGCTAATTATGCATATTCTGACCTATGTTTGGTAATTTTTGTAGATTTTAAAGTTTGCAGTGTGTAAATTACTTTATTTGTTCAGTGGATAAAATTTTACATCTTAATACATGTAATAATGTTCATGAAAAATAGCATGAATATATAGGCATGCTGCTTTAAACAAGCCTAACATGTGATTACATGTAAGGGTTATTCATTTTATTCCAAAAATAATTCCAAATTTAGAATAAAATGTATTAATATCATAATTTATCATTTGTTAGTTTTGCCTAATCATATAACCACGAAATGTCCGGTGAGTGTTTACAATATTTGTTTTGTGTATTTATGCTTAGAAAATATATCTTTATTACACTATTGTAAAAACTTGTATGTACTACATATATATTGACTGTAACTAATTTATTGTATAAATTGTCTCATAAAACAGGTATTTTTATCATATGACACTGATGTACTATGATGTATTAACTGTTGAAATGATCCATGCGATCAGCAAATGACGTAATTTTCGAGTTTCCCGGTCCAGTAGTTCAGTAGTCAAATATGTGTCAGCTTGTTTAGCATTACAAGAACTTTTAAATAAATAAGTTTACTATGCTGATCACGATAAAGAATTGATCAAAATATTTTTGGAATAAAATACATGTAGTAATAAAAACTCTTAAAAATCGATTAAGGACCATGTGAGTCAATGCAAAACAGTAACCTGGTATAATGATGAGCTATTTCGAATTTCTTATTGTTTAACTGTATGTTAACCAGTTAGTCATGCATTATATTATCTGAATTGGAATACATATATATAGAAAAAAATCTTTTCTTTTGTGTTTAAAAAGATTGTAGTCGAATTTAGTGTGTACATCTACATCCTCATTGTAGCAAAAAGAAAACAGGCATGAAATAAAATAACACAAACTTCACCTAGTTGGTTGCTTAAAACTTGTGATGTGCACCAACACGGTATAGATCCTATGGTGAAATAACTGGTAAATGGAAGACGTCAACTCATTTGGTTTTCCTGCATTATTTCAGGCACGAAACGGACTCTCGAGTAGAACAGCTGCCGTTCCGCAAGCTAGCTGCACATATAGTTTCTTTCCATGCAAGAATCCAAAGTCCCTGCCTGGATTCGAACCCACAACGGTGAGGGGCAAATGGTTTGAAGTCACCATTCTATCACAAACTTGTACATAGCATGACATGAAAACTAAAAGATATACAGCGTAAGGGCGTAATTCAGCAATTCGTAAAAAAACTAAATACTCGAGTTACTACTCAATTAAGGAGCTTAAGACGGGCTGTGCATGATCATGGTATAGGCCATTATCTTGTCGTGGCTAATTTTCTCACGTGTCATCAGTACTGGTAATGCCAGGAAGTGAAAACAAGTTGTTCTTGCACTTGATGGCTGGCAAAGTGCAGTTGCATGGATGTAGAAATGACATCAGACCATCTTAAGATTATACAAATATACTATGATGGTCATATTGCGACTGGCGGGCTTTACTGGTTCAAGAAGACCTAGAGTGCCCCTCTGTGCATTATTTCAGAAAAGACCAGGCACCTGAATAGAATAACTGATCTTCCTCAAGCTACCTTGATAGATTCCTAACATGTAGTCCAAAGTGCCTGGCCGGATTCAAACCCACAGCGGAGAGGGCATGTAAATTAAAGTGAACAATATACCACTCTCGTCTACATCATATGAATTGCAAATTAACAGATACATGTATTTAGTGCGAGAGATTAATTGTGCAATTTATATAAAATATCAACTATACTTCATCAGTCTGAACAATTCGTGAAGAAAAATGTCTGAAATACTGAAGTAAAGCACAATTAAAGAGTAAATACAAGTAATACCCATGGGCGTAATGTCGCACCCGCTCTCTTAATTCAACTCCGTACATATAAGCCTCAGATCAATGAGAAAGATGTATACACAGCTGAGATGTGCGCAACACATCCTCTTTATACCCAAGGCAAAATCTTGACATTGCATAATCTTAAGCAATCCAAACACAATACTACAAAGCATAATCAAGATACAGTGATGACAACCAAACTATGAAATTTGTATTTGAACCTTGACCTCTTTTGACGTTGACCATCATTTTGCGCAAGACGACTCACCATGGGGAACATTTGTTCTAAGTTATATCAAAATCCATCCTTGTATATAGAAGTAATACAATTGAATGTTTTAAAATTTGTTATTTGACCTTTGACCTTGAAGTAAGACCTTTGTCGCAGACACCTCATTTTTTGCATGACACTCCGCAACTTTAATCAAAATCCCGCCATGCATTTAAAAGTAATGCTTCGGTTTTGGCCTACCCCTTCCCAAGAGTGACCTTGACCTTTGAGGGGCGGACCTGGGTTTCCCGTGTGACATACTACCCCATTATGGTAAACATTTGTATCAAACTATGTTGTAATCCTTCAAAAAATGAGCAAGATATAGAATGTACACATCTTGAAGAATGCATGTCCTGACCGACGCACAAACACTGAAAAGCAAAAATTGGCGATTAAGTCAAACTCACAACAAGCTGGCTCAACAATTTCAATATCCTCTGACCACTAAACATAATGCTTCAAGCATAAGCAAGATACAGCGCCAACAAACAAATGTTAATATTATATTTAACCTTTGACCTCTTGTGACCTTGACCTTTATTTTGCAATAGAGAACTCAACTCATCATGAAGAACATTTGTACTAAGTAATATCAAAATCCATATATTGAAATCCATCTATATAATTATTTTCTTCGCATGTAGGAGATATGCTCTAGACACATATCTATATTTAAACATCTTTAGTGAACTTGACCTTGCATATATTAACCTAAATTACATGTTTCCCATTTGTAGTCATGTTAATGACCATTTGTGTTTCTGTTCCTCAATAAATGATGACTAAATGGTCCATATCACATTTCATATTTTCATATTAAATGTGATCCTTATGTGTGACCTTGACATTGGCCCCTTGGACCATAATGTTTTACAAGACACTCTGCCTTATAACGATGAACAGTTGTGCCAAGTTATATTGAAATCCCTCGATGCATGTAGAAGTTTGCTTGGGACAAGCATTTTTCAATGACCTTTAAATGTGACCTTGACCTTTGACCTAGAGGCGTGGTTCATGTGCCTGACACAGCTTCTCAAAGGGGTTAAGATTTCTATGAAGCTTCATCAGAATCCCATGTATGTAGGAGATAATTATGCTCAGGACAAAATCTCTATATTGTCATCATCATTGTATATATAAACCTTAAATAAATGTTTCACATCCGTAGTCATGATATCAGATAATGACCATTTGTTTTTCAATCCCTCAATAAATGATGACTAAATGGTTCGAATTCAAATTTCATATTTTAATCTGAACTTTGACCCCTATGTGTGATCTTGACCTTGGAACCTGAATTGTGCACGTAACACTCCACCTCATAATGGAGAACATGTGTGCTAATTTATATTGAAATCCCTCTAAAAATGTAGAAGTTTAGCTTGGGACAAGCTTTTCTCAATGACAAGATACCTGAATCATGCGTGTTGCATAGCTTCTCATAATGGTTAA